AGCAGAAAACAATAAAAGTGATAAGCAAGGAAATGAAGAAGAGCAAGTAAAGAATATGACAGAAAAAAATGATGAAGGTAAACATTAGTTTATTATTAAATAATATTCACAGTTTAATATAACTTGTTACTAATAATTTTTATAATCACATATGAATGTAGTAAAGCCATTGTGAAGAATGTGGTGGAGAATACAATTAAAGGTAAAAATATGTCTATTATCATATAGTATTCATATTTAAATAAACTTTATGCTTTTAAAAAATAAATTACTTATAAGGGTATATAACTTTTCAGAAGAAAGCAACAAGGATGAAAGAATAGAATAAAAAATGAGACGAAGAAAGTTGATGACAATAAATATTTATTTATGCTTTATATTATTCACATATAAATAAATCTTATTTGTCGTATTTCTTTATATTTTATAATTATTTTAGAATATTCACATATGAATAAAAATAATTTTTTTTATTCACATATGAAGGTAAATTTTGTTTAACATCTTAAAACTAATATGTCATATCAAGATAAAACAGTTGAAAACACAATAAACAATGTTGTGAAAAGTATTCTCAATGATACTTTAGGTAACAACAACATGATGAATAATTGAGGAGTAACTGAATATGAATTTCAGAAGGTCCCAGAATTCAATAAATATTATGAAAACACAGAGAAACAAATTGAAAGAGAAAGACTTGAGAGGGAAAGTTGTCCAAGTTTCGATCTCAAATTGAGTTAGCAAACAAAGTTGTTGAAACTAAGTCAAAAATACCAAAGATAATCATTTCAAAAAATTACCTCGAAATTGCAACAAATAAAACAAAAAAATCCAAATCAACAAGAAGAAGGTAAATTTATATTTAATAAAAAAAACTTTTATTCATATATGAATATACAAAAAACTTAATTTGTAATAACATATTATATTCATGTATGATTAAAGTTGAGTAAATTACACGAATCGTCCTTCGTGCAGGTACGAAAATGCACGTTCGGTCCCTATTTTCAAAAAATAACTCGGACCGTACCTCGATAGTTTCAAACTTACCCGCTTCATTCCTGAAACACAATTTTGTTGCGAACTTAGTCTGTTCCAGATTTGAAATGACCATAATACCCTTATTTTTTTATTTTTCAATTAATTTGATTTTTATTATGATTTTCAATTAGAAAAAATAAAACCCCCAAACCTTCACTTTCCCCAACCTATCCACCACTTTTAAAACTGTTAACGTAAGCACACACACATTCATAAAGAAGGAAACAGGAGATCATCAACCTTGTCGATGACCGGTCATCATCATCGCTCAACCTCCGTTGTGGTGGTGGTTTCGGCTGGGTTTTCTGGGGGAACTCTAGAAGTACCCTAACTCCTCCTTCTCGTTTCTCCAACTTCATATGAGAAGGCGATCGGTCTGGTCATCATCATTGCCATCGCCTCCAAGCCACCACCATACTCCCCGCAAGCCACTGACTTCATCTGCAGGTTTCAGGCAAGGGCTAGGTTTTCCAAGCCACCATCGTCCAATCCACCGCCGCAAGCCACTAACTCCTCCATCACAAGTGAACGCCACCATTACCACTAAACTCCACTATCACCACGTTTGAACCTGTCACAGATGGCCACTCCTTCTGGTGAATCTCTCACCCATTTTCGTCTCAAGCCCAATCTTTCACACCCTCACTCATAGAACTGCTCAATTTATTCACAATCATCAGTCGATTTATGCAAGTGGGTTTTCATATTTGAGGGCTAGGTTTTTCAATTTGAAGTGATTTGATTTTAAGGTTTGGGGTTTTAGATTTCTGGTCGATTTTCAGATTTCTAGTTTTTCAGGTTTCAATTCTTGGTTTTCAGATTTGATTTGGTTTGGTTTGGTTGTCGGAAGTAGGCTGGTGGCCGGAGGTGGCTGGTGGTCGGACATGATATTATTGACCAACATTTTCCGGTGACCTGATTGAAGGGACGGTTTAGGGCCATTTCTTTTTTAAAAGAAAATAATAATATTTTTTATAATAAAAAATCAATAAATAATTAAGAAATAACAAATAATTAGAAAAGAAATCAAAAAAGAAATAAATAAGGGCAAAATGGTCTTTTTATGTCTGGAGGGATGAAGCGTGTAAGTTTTAAACTAACGAGGGACGGTCCGAGTTAATTTTTAAAAATAGGGACTGAACATGCATTTCGACACCTTCACGAGGGACGATTCGTGTAATTTACTCATTAAAGTTTGTTCTTATATTCAGGTTCAAAAACTCCAAGTGATCCCAATCCAATTTTTGTTGAACCTAATGTTGCTACAAAACCAATTTCCATTGCACGAAGAAATTACATCAAAGTTGCAGCAAAAAAAAACAAAAAATCCAAATCAACAAGAAAGAAGGTAAATTTACAATTTATAAAAAAAATTATTCACATCTGAATATACAAAAAACTTAATTTTTAATATCATATTATATTCATATATGATTAATGTTTGTTTTCTTGAATTCAGGGTCAAAAAATGAAAGTGATCCCAATCCAATTTTTATTGAACCTCATGTTGTTGCACAACCAATTTCTGTTGCATCTCCTATTTCTGCACAACCAATTTTTGTTGCACCTCCTGCTGCTGCAAATTTGAGACTTCGTGTTAAGGACAAAAGAGAACAAAAACTTTCAAAATCAAGGAGATCACCATACAAAATGTGTGTGATTGACTTAAAGAACGCCCCGACACAAGAGGAAGAAAATGTATCTGAGTGGCTATTCAACATTCAAGGAGATGTATAGTAAGTATTCTAATTTGTTTGAATATTAATATACAATTAAATATTATACAAAAATATTAATTGAGTACATCTTTTTAAATTTTACAGTCAGCAAGTCATATTAACAAATGATGGTAAAATAACTTTGAGAGGAATGTTGGAATCTTTATCCTTGAATCAATACATATGTTACAGTGTGATTGATGCATGGGTAGAATTGCTAAATCATTATGAAAAGATCGAAATATTAATACCTCACGGTTTAGACTATTTTGCCGTGTAGAAATGACTGTAAGTTATTCCAATATGATTATAGTAGAAAATTACTAAATATATTATATTAATTCATATGTGATACATGAAAATAAGTTTTCTAAAACTATTTATACATCATACATCGAGTCGGATTCAAAGTTGGACGATCAACAGAGATACGTAGTTTTCGAACAAAATCTTGTTAATTGTATTGGTAAAGTTAACTTCAAGGACATCGATCTTGTATAATACCTTATATTTTCCTATATTTTTTGAATTTATATGTGATTATATACTGCGAACTGTAACATTATTTACTTAAATATGGGTTTTTTTCTTGTCATACTGAGCGATCACATATTCTTAATCGTTTTCAATTTGAAAAACCTGAGCATATAAATCCTTGACAACAGTTCTGTAGATGTACCGTCTGACACAAAGTATGCGCCTGTTTTGAATAATCTGGTATGTATCATTTTACAAATTATATGTGTTAATATACATTCATATCCATGTATTAATCACATATGAATAATGATAAAACATATCTATTATTCACATGTGAATTAAATTATGAATAATTGTTTCACATAAAATATTAATGTTTACATATCCATTATTCACATGTGAATTAAATTAAGAATACTTGTTTCACATATGAATATTAATATTCACATATAACTTTTTTATAATTATCAGAAAAAATTATTTCTGATATATTTGAAAGAAATTAAACATCGAACAGCAAATGCAATGGTTGATAAAAAAGTGGCGACATACATACTCGACTTTCCATGGAAGACAATAAAGAATAAAACATATTCTAAATTTTTACAATGAGGCACATGGAGACATACATGGGTCAAATAGATGGAACATGGAAATGCGGACTTGGGAAAGATAACTCATTACAAGAAGCATTGTTGGATAAATTAAGGACAAAGTATGCTGCAAAGTTGTTAACTTTTGTAATCAAGTTGTTGAAAGAACAAAACTTGAATCTCGCGAATAAGTATCATCAAATCGATGAAAAAATTCGAAAACGGCACTTATATGATGTAGTAACTAACATTAAGCACAGGTTGAAGATAGTGGCATGATGAAGGTGATGGAATATTAAAGGGAAGTTGAGGTTGATATGTGGGGAGGTGGTAGAATTTGGAAATTTGATTGTGTTGTGTTGTTAAATGGGGTTATAAGACAATATTCTTATGTGTTTGTGTTATGTTGGTAATATGTTTCTCTAAGAAAATTGCTTATCGTTTTTTGAATTTTAGACAATTACGTTTTATGTTGTTGAAGATATTAAGACAATATTTACTTAATGTCTGAATGGTATTTGAATATCTTTCGTTTATATTTAAATGTGATTGATATTAAATGTTTATGGTTTATATTTACATGTACTATAAACAGTACTATGACTTACTACTTTATAATTACATGTGATTTATCACATAAACTTTATATTATAGCTTTAAACATACTATTCATATGTGATTTCCAAATAGTTTACACTTTCATTCAAAAATATTTGAAAAACATTTAAAAACATTTTAAGTATTTTATACTTTTTGAATATTTTAAAGAATATATTGTATTTACATGTGATTAAAACATGTGAATTTATTTATAAAAATTCACATGTTAATTTATAGATATATTCACATGTTATTGCCAATTAGTTTTCACTTTCATTCAAAAAAAATTGTAAAAAATTTAAAACATTTGAAGTATTTTATACTTTTCAATCATTTAAGAATATATTGTATTAATATGTGATTAGTATCCACTTGTGATTTTGAATTATCAACTTGTATTCATATGTGAATAAAATATAAAAAGAATTTAAAAACAAAATTGATGTTTTATTCATATATGAAAATATCTAAAAGAATGAATGAATTACAATATCAACTATATAACCTTTTCGGATTACTCATTCCTTGAAAATCTTATTGGACATGTACGAGCATTATGAGGTTCTTTTTTACCACATACAAATCATATTCTTCTCTGCTTATTATTTGATTTTAAAATTGTCTTCTCAATTGCACCAACAGTTCTTTTCGTTACCCCACATCCTTTGTTTTGTTGGACACCTGGAACAATAATGTCAACCTCTTCTGGAATAGAAACACCAATAAGGTCTGAAACTTCATCTATCTTTTCCTTCGCTACTTCATTTGACGAATCATCTTTCAAATCCTTCAAAATAACTAGAAGTTTCTCAACAAACAGCTCAAGCTTTCGTTTATCCCCTCTCAGAATATCTAGACAAGATTCAAACTTGAAGAATGCTTCATTGACTAACTTTATAAGTTAGCACCCCTTTCATCATAATGATCACTACCAAGGTTATAATTTGTAGATATTACATCCTTTATCTATCGCCTAAGAACATATTGTTCGGGTATTTCTTTGAAATTCCTTTTAATCAATATCTTCAAAGCATGTCTACACAATATACCTACACGATTAAAGTATCCATAACTGCATTTTATCTATTTTTCTGTCATTATAAGTTCAACCTATAATTAAACAAAAAATAACAAATAAAATAAATCATGTCAATAATCAATTCATATACGAATATAAAAAATTAAATTTGAAAAATTTATGTCTAATCACATGTGATTTTCTATATATATAAAATTCACATGTTGTAATCACATGTGGAATATAGAGAGAGAGATAGATAGATAGAGATCGATATGATATAGATTATATAGAGATATATATATATAGATAGATAGGATAATAGATATAAATGCAAAGGTGAATATATGAATAACTAAAAATGCAAAAATGAAATCAAATTCAATATATATTAATTATATATATATATATATAGATATATATAATATATATATCTAACTTCAATTGTGGAATATTTAACAAAGTAATATCTATATTATTATCAAATTAACATATATATCATAATGCACATATAATATATATTATTAACAAATTCATATATATTATATATCTATATATATTATATATATATAGTATATATATATATATATATATATTCACATTCACATGTGAAGGATAACTATTACCTTGCATAGTGCTTTGACTTCACTTCCCTTATGCTTATGAATCACTATATACACATCCCCTCCATCAACTACATTGAAGTTTGTGTCATCACAAAACCAAGACGCTTTGTAAAACTGATTCTAAACATCAAAAAATATGTCACTTGTGTAAACACTTGCTGCATGTTTAACAACTTGTTTTACTGTTGCATCTTGATCAGTTATAACTAACATTGGTTGTTTCACATGAGCTTTCAGAAAACATTCGAGTAACCAATTATATGATTCAATACTTTCAGTGCTTCACCAGCCAACTCCAACAGTAACAGATTGTTTCTGATGATCAATGGCAGTAAACGAAATGAAAACCAATCCATACATATATAATAAATCACAAATGAATAAAAGAATACTATCTATATTCTTATGTGAATATATATATATTATATATATATATATATATATATATAATTATTTTATCCACATGTGAATAAAATAATATATTGACTAATCCATACATATATAATAAATCACAAATGAATAAAAGAATATTATCTATATTCATATGTGAATAAACATATATATAGAAATGAATAATTATTTTATTCACATGTGAATAAAATAATATATTGAATAATATCATTATTCTATTCATATATTTATTCATACATGACTATAACTTTATATCATACTTATATTCATATGTGAATATATTAAAAGTTGAATTAGATAAGATAACTTATTTATTAGTGTGAAATGTAACATAAAATGAAATCACATCTCCAAAATCATTATAATATGCCTTGTCCGTCTCGTCTGCCCAAAACATAGATTTCAGAATTTTATTTTCATCACATTTGTAGTAAAAAGAATAATCCGGATAGTTATCTATGCGTTCAATCATCTTATTAACTATAAGTTGAGCATCTCTATAACTAATGGTGTCGCCCACATCTCTTTTGAAATTTTTATAATCAGTAACCTTGCCCTTCACATGTTCAAAACCACCTTTCAAACTTTCCTTCAACTTGTAAGCCTTTGTTGCACCTATTTATACTGTAGAAGCACGAATTATAAACTCTTTGTCTGAATAAGAAAGTTTCCTCGATATCCTTAAATGAAAAGGATCCACAAACTCATGATTATGAAATTCTAAAAACTTGTAAATCATGAATTCAGTAGTTCCTTTAACAGGATGAAATATGATCTTTGCTTGACAACTGTAGCCTTGTACTTTGAATTTTGCTTATTCATATCATCCAGAGATTTTACTAGTGGCTTTCTATTCATATTGCAAACTATATATTTGTGTTTAATATAGTCACCTACTTTTCTCTATGTATACAATCACACATCAAAACTTGTCATAGTTGTATAAGTTCTGTACATTTCAATTGCAGAAGGCAAAGACTTGAACCTCATTCTCAGATCAGGTTTAAACTGATCAGGAACCTCAGGTTTAAACTTATGTGGAACATCACACTTATAAGTATGTTGTACACCAACTGTACTCATCATACTGCTAGATCCTGATTCATTTGTTGAAATCTTATCTGTTATAAATAATAAGATCATCAAAACATGTACATTAACATATAAAACAAGTATTAACATATATATATATATATATATATATATATATATATATATATATAATTCACATATGAATAATGATATATTTATCTATATTCATATGTGATTATATCAACATGTGAATATATCAAAACAATCATATGTGAATAACATATGAATAAACAAAATGAATATATATATATATATATATATATATATATATATATATATATATATATATATGGACGAATCACATGAGAATAACATCTGAATCACTGAGTATAAATAAACACATACAAAATCACATGTGAATAACTGAGTATAAATCAACAAATACATATAAATATTAAAAATATGTTTGTATTAATAACAAAAGGAACTTATTAATCACATGTGATTAAAAGAATATTTACTTCTATTACAAAAATAAAATAAAATAATGAATTATTATCTAATCACAAATGATTAAAAGAGAATTAATACAACATTTACCTGAACATTGATTCCGATGATTCGAATATTCATTGTCTTCATCATAATCTTCAAATGTCGAATCAAAAACAGACATTTCATCTTCATGTTAAAAGCAATAGAATTCATTACCATGATTATCACTTGAAAACGACATATTCAAACAAAAAACCTGTGATTAACAACCAAAAACAAATAAAACACACAACATTATTGCAGAAACAGTTAAGAGAACATAAAATCAGAAGAGCAAATTATTCGGAATTAGAACCTGATTAGTTTTAATATTTCAAAACTTGCGATTTTAATACAAATTTGACAAACGACGAACAAAAAAAAAAGATAAATTGAGCAATTGATTGAACAAAATCAATGAAAATTGCAAATAACAATCAAAATCAACGACGAACAAAAAAAAGAGAAAATTGAGAAATTGAGCAATCGATTGATTATTTACTTACCTTTATATGAATCGACGAATAATATCTAAAGCGAGTTCCGATTTTAGGTGTAGATCAGTTAAAATCGGAAGCAATCAACTAAAATCTTAAAAGTAGGATGATAGAGGAGAAAATCCGATGACAGAGAAGAAAATATATTAAAGGCCTATATGATTTCGTATATAAAAACACAATTGACAAAAATACCCCTAACTAATAAAAAATAGAACACGCCTTTTCTTTAAAGGATTAATGGCTAAGATTTGTTCTCAAGTTTTCAA